AGGAGCATGAATCATGTTTAATGAGCAAATTATCCTTTACAATGATCCAAATAAAAGTGATGGTGGTGGTATAAGTGTGATCAATATTATATATCCTTCTCAGTACCCCTAATTATGAAGTTTTAAAATTTGAAATTTAATACCATGTCAAAGTTTTGGATTGAAGTCGCTATCTCTGTGTTCTTTTATAGAAATGGTACTAATGGGGATTTGGGAAGTAGTTTATCACATCAGGAAAAAATAATCCATTTTTCATATCCTGTTACAATGATTATTGTTGACAGAAAAATATATATGAAAAAATATATAGGGTCATATCATAGATACCCAAATGTATTGCAGATCATATGATATACTTGGGAAGATTGCAATGCTGTAACTCCTTCAAATAACTAATTTCAGTCTAACAAAATGAATACTAGGAAGCTGAAACATTTTTGCTCTGGGATGGAAGGTCAAGAGGGGTGACAGCAGAGGGAAGGAAAGAGGAATGAAGGGTGAATACAGTCTTAATATCCAATATACTTATGTGAAAATAGAACTAGAAAACTTGAAGGGATGGATGGCGTTGATAGAGAGAGGGGAGGGTGATGGGAGGGGTAACATTGAGACACATGGTAGTTATAAATTGACATACTGAAATGGAATCCTTTTGTACAGCTACTTAAGGAATATATGTATATATGTGTATATCATATATGCATGTATATATATATGATACAGAAATAAAAATGATACTGTTTGCTCAATGACACATGAATGCTTCCCTATGTCATCCCTAAATTGGAAAGTAAGCAATGATCCCGTGGCACCAAGTGCACTGCATTTGCTTAGAATGCTGACTCACTCATCTATCCTCAAAGATTGCTGAATGAGTCAGCGTTCAACATTTGTGTCAGTTTGATTAGGACCTGAAGCTATCATGTCATTATGGGATCACTGGGTATCAGTCATTCACTTAATTTGAAAGCACTGCATGGAAATCATTAATATTCATTCTGCAACATTATAAACTTCTGAATTCAAACACACTAAATCATGACAATATAGAATATTAGGGTTTTCCAAATTTTTTAATGATAGTTTCACTTCAGTTTAATCAGTATTGATTTTAGTTAGTATGTCAACAAGCAAGGGTAAGCTCTCTAAAGTATTATGTTGAACAAGTTTAGGAAACTGGTCTCTTCAAAACAAAAACATGGTATTGTCTCCAACCTGTTATCAGGGCTTCTTGTGATATTCCACTCTGCCTTCAATACAAACAGAAAGTTGGTTTAAGATAAGTCTGAGAATTTTTCAGTTGTATAAATGATTAAGCTAGAAAGAAATAAAGGTAGATAGTACTTCCTAAATTTGATCATACCTTGTCATGACTTAGAAATTGTATCCAATGTGGGCATTTTACTCTGTACCTTCCAAAATACCCCAATCCTACATTATAGCCTTTTTGTTCCACATAAAAATCTACATATCAATGTTAAGTATCTTTAGTTAACATTTGAAGCTTTTATGAAGCTCTATATGATTTCTAAAATAATGCATAAATAAGCAAATTCAAGTACTATTGATCAACATTATATATTTAATTCTATTATATTGAATGCAATGCTTAGAAGCATAAAGTTATATCTCAATGAGTTTTATAACTGACCCAAACTATTATTTTTCCTTACTCCCATGAGATATGATTGAGAAACTCATAACCAAGCTCCTGCTATTCACAATATCTCCATTGGGTGTAGCTATGATATTAGATAGGTTAATATCACAGCCTATGTACTCAGGAAGGATGCTGGGACATTTGGGGATTTGTAGTCACTTGCTTTGTCTTGAGCATTAAATTATATTTTTTCAGCTGAATGATCTTGGGGAAAATCAAAAAGGATATTTTCAAGTCAATCAGGTCAAGAAGGATTTCAGTATATTTTACCCCAAAAGGAAGAAACCTAGAAAGTTATACCTTGTATTGAAACTTTGATTAACAGCAATTCTACATAGTGTGCTTTTTTTTTTTTTTTACAGTCATATAATTCACATCTAGGGTGAATGCCTTCAAAGTATGCAGGCATCTGTTAAATAAACTGTGATAAATAAGAAAAAAACCCACTAACCATGCAACTCCTCTATCCAATGACAAGTCTGGGCAAAATGTCTTAAAATGCCTATTTATGCTGAGAGAGAGAGAGAAAGAGAGAGAGAAAATAGCATGTCTTCTGAAATGCAAGGGCAGCTTACATGCTGAGATGAAAACTGCTAACTCGTTTCTTAACAACACCATATGTCTGTGATTGGATCATAATGCAGTCGATTCTCCAGGGAATGTGCTAAATGGAAGTTAACCAAATCAAGGCCAGCCATCCTATGTGCCTACTTGCTGATTAACTGGTGATCAGCCTCTTTGGATTTTCCACATCACCCGAACATGGCATGGAGGATCTTCCTGCTTTCTTGACATCCTCTCAAACCAATCGAGTCATAAAAGCCCTGACACAATAATATTGATCCTTGTGTTCACATTTCCTCTTCTATACAACCTCAGTCTGGTCTAAGGAACGAAAATACAAAATCCTCAAAGTCTCTTAATGGGTTTTACATAGAACATGCATTGTGGAACAAACACTGTTGAATCTGGCTTAGAAAGCAAAAACAAAATACCAAAAGACGGAAGAATTTGCACTTTCTCCCCTGAGAAGTATTATAACAAAGGGGGAAGGGAGTCAATGCCCAGTAGGCAAACAGCTCTTTATCCATTATATTTTATCAGCTCCATTATCCATTATATATTATCAGCTCTTTATCCATTATTTTTCTCAGGTTAGCTCTTCTTTAGTTTTTAAAGCTAGGGATAGCTAGTTGAACTCAGCTAGGTATTTAGAAGAAGAAAATGGCAATTGGAATAAAGGTCAATGTGGAGAGGAACGATGGGACAGAACAAATCATCTCTCTTGTACCCAGTTGGACGTGTACGATCCCAAGACTGACACATGTGCTTACAAAAGTTGAATGGTGGAGGACAAGTTTTCCCACTTCCACCTTCATGCGCCAATGTGGGAAGATCCAATCAGAAAAGAACGTTCTTGCTGGAGTTCCAAAGCAAGGGATCCAATCAGAAAGCATTTTAGGAAAGGCAAGGAGGAAAGCAAGCCCTCCCACTTTTGCCTTTGCACTTTGAAGTGGGAGGAGCCCAGTCAGAAAGGAACTTATGTGTTCAGGTTCTGGGGAAGAGGGATGCAGTCACAGTGGCTTCCAACAGTGCTTAGCTGAATGTAACCTATCAAACCAGAGAAAGAGAGGTTTCCCTAACAGGAAAGGGAATCGGGAACCAAAGATACACTTTCTTAGGAGGGAGAGCCCTAGGGACCAAACATCTGGTTGCTCCAGTCAAAGAGGCTCAACAGGAAATTTCCCACTTTACGTAATCGACTCCCACTAGCCAACCTCTTCCTCCTCATCCTCCCTCCCTCCACTCCTTCTCCTTCCCCCCATTTCCAATCCTCTTCCAGTTTTTCCTCCTGACCTAAGCACTGTCCTTTAACTTTGCTACACGAGGCACAAGCTGTACCACTTGAGCCACACCTCCAATTTGGCTTTTTGGTGATAATAGGAGATAAGACTTCCAGACTTTCTTGCCCTGGCTGGCTTTAAACCAGGATCCACGTATCCCATTCAGCCTTTTGAGAAGCTAGGGTCACAGGAGTCAGCCACCAGGATAGGCTCTATTAACTCTTCTTTCTCTCCTGTTACCAGTAAATAAACTTACTTGATTTGCTTTAAGCACTTTCCTGCATTTTTGTTCTTCAATTGGCAGAAAAAATCTCTTATTACCTCATATCAAATATCTCCCATGCATCCTACAGTTAAATTACTATGAAGTTGGGGCATTTATAACTCTGATAATATAATATTGACTATATTATGGTGAATATAATTCTTTTCTTTTTTTTTTGCCAGTCCTGGGGCTTGAACTCAGGGCCTGGGCACTATCACTGAGCTGCTTTTGCTTAAGGCTAGTGCTCTACCACTTGAGCCACAGCACCATCTCCAGCTTTTTCTGTTTATGTGGTGCTAAGGAATGGAACCCAGGACCTCATGCCTGAGCAGCAAGCACTCTACCACTGAGTCACCTTCCCAGACCCTGAATATAATTCTTAATAGCATAGAGCTATATTTTTTTTTGTCAGTTGTGGGCTTGAACTCTGAGCCTGGGTGCTGTCCCTTAGCTCTTCAGCTCAAGGGGAGCACTCTACCACTTAAGCCACAGCACCACTTCTGGTTTTCTGGTGGTTAACTGGAGATAAAAGTCTCACAGACTTTCCTGCCCAGGATGGCTTTAAAGTGAGATCTTCAGATTCAGCCTCTTGAGTAGCTAGAATTACAGGCATGAGCCACCTGTGCCTGGCTATAGAGGTATGTCATTATAGTGGTATGTGTGAAACCTAAAGAATTTTGCCTTGAAAGTGTAAGATGTCGTTGGAGTGTCTAGATTGGAACTATTCCTAGTGAATGGAGAGTGTTTTTAATTTTTTTTAGTGTGTAGCAACTGATGTTTATGTAAAATATAAAATTATTCCCTTCAGATTTCATGACAGAGCTAAACTACGTAAGTTTCTAAATTTACTGCCCTCTCTGTATTCTTGTTTACATGGGCTGGTAAGAGATGGTTGGGGTCTGGCATCCATCTGTGGGCTTCGCCATGCTTAGCTCTTTTGTTAATTATACATCAAGGTTATTTATATTAAGAGTCATTAACTGATCTCATTTCTTTATTCTTTGCTATGTTTTCCTTCTCAATCACTTTGTAGAAGTATGCAAAGAGATTCAAAGGAAAATCAAAAAATAATCACCAAGACACTTTTGAGGAAGATGAGTTACTATATGTAAATGCACATCTATAAAAACAAACTTTTCCCACACACAAGAAAGGCTTTATTATATCTTCATTTGAATAACAGCAATAAATCTAGCAATGGTTTGAGTGATTTCATAATGACATTTCTTACCTGGGATGCCTGGTGGTGTTTTCAGGTATTTTCCATTAAAATGTTGAATTACCACTTCACATTTTTCAGTAGACTCCATTCTGGGAAAAGAAAGCACACGAGAGATCATATACTTGTGTCAGTTTGTTCATATTGGTTTTTAAAAAAAGATAAAAGAAGGAGAAAAGATAAAAGAAAGCGAGAAAGCAATGGAAAATCTTGACAATTTAATGTGAATTGTCAACTGGTGACATGATGACAATAATCAGGCTGATGGGAAACAGTACAGAATCATCAGTGTTGAGAGTAGCCTCCCTACGCAGAGAGTTGTCTGTGATGATGGTGGTAGGTATGCTAAGCCCATTGGAAACCCTGTGACCTTATGACCTATGTCATACCAACGAGGGCACCAATGGTGAAAGGGATGTTATCTCTTCAGTAAGTGGTAAAGCAGGAACTTAAAAGATGGATTTTCTAATTTGGGGAGGGGAAGGGAAATAACAAAATGCTGAAATAAGGATAAAAAAGGAATGTTTCCACAATATTTAAGCCTGTACAATAACAACTGAAAAGTCTCTACACACTCTACTGTTTTGTTTGAACAGTACATTGCCCAGAAGAGCAAACAACACAATAGTGAACGGCTCAGCATCCTGACATTGTTTTTGAAAAGTTAGCATGTGAAAGATGTTTAAAAAGAGTTATTTGAGATTCTATATGTTCTCAATTTTGAATGTTGGACAGTCTTTTATTTGTTTTTTAAATATTTAAAAATATTAGTATTTCTAAACGAGGGTTCTTGTGTAAAATTTTACTTCTCATATACTGTGGTCTAAAGGATGAATTTTGAGAGAGAGTCTTGGCAGTGCTGCCATATCTCAAGCACAATATCATTTACAACGATTTGTAAGTCATGAATTATAACTGGCCTTTATTACTTTATAAAAATTCAAGGGAGCAATAAAAAATTAGAGTTGATTCTGGTTAACAAAAACTGACTTATTCAGAATACAACAAGAAGCAAAAGCAAGCTTCACCTACAGTGTGCAAAGCTATGAAAGAATATATATGAAATGTCTGAAATGCATCCAAAGGTAAAGTATAAGTTCATGTATTTTGTTGTTTTGTTTAGATTGTTAATATGTGCTTTCTGAACAGAGGGTTTTGATGTAAGTTGTAATCTTTCCAGTATGTAAATTTTAGGTGTGTTTTCAGGGCCATATCATGTGAACATATTACATGTAGAAGAAATAAAATAAGGAAAATGTTAATACATGCTAATAGACCACACATATTTATTGAAGTGATAGGAATGTACAGGTGAGAGTCCTAGAAGTGAGGAGAACTCAGAGAAGCAGCCTCAACAGCAGAACAGGTGTTGGAAACATAATTAGGCCAAAGGAGGTTTTGGACTTGCATCTTCTGCACATTCAGGTGAAAGGAGGAGAACACTTAGGTGAGTGCAATGCTCACGTGGGAGACCTAGAGATAGACCATGAATGCAAACAGGATATCTGCACCACTTCATCAATCAATGAATTATTGTAATTACTTTCTGACAAATTAAAGTTTGGCTTTAAGTGTACATTCCTATGAAGTGTGGAATAAAATCATTCAGTATTGGTACACATGAAAACTCCTATCAGCGGCCAGATCAACTGCATGAACTTGAGAACTATGTTGAAAGCTATGCTATAACTATCTCAAAATTTAACCTTTATTTATTATTATTATATTTTTGTCAGTCGTGGGGCCTGAACTCTGGGCCTGGGCACTGTTCCTCAGCTCTTCAGCTCAAGGCTAGTGTTCTACCATATGAGCCATAGTGCCACTTTCTGGCTTTTTCTGTTTAGATGGTGATGAGGAATCGAACCCAGGGCCTCATGCCTGCAAGGCAAGCGCTCTGCCACTGAGCCACCTTCCCAGCCCCTGATAGTTACTTTTTAACAAGGAATGTTGAATTGCCATCTTTCACAGGGCCCCCTAACTTTATAGCTTATCTGGAAATGAAAAGAAAATTTGGGGAATTGGATTGAAGTTATCAGATAAGTATTCATTTTTTTAGATGATAAAAAAGACCTACATAAGAGTTATTTTGGAAGAAATCTTTTTTAATATTTAAAATGTTTAATGATAATTTTTTATCATGTCCTTCCAAATCAGAGAGTCCTCCCAAATCAATAAGATCTGAAAACATTTAGATTGGGGTTACAGGATCTAGAATTTATAGTATGGGCCACAGCTTCATTTCTGGCTTTTTGGTAGTTTTGTGGAGGTAAGATTCTCATGAGCTTGGAAGAAATCTTAAGAACAAATTAATGTATAGATGAATTCTTTTAGCCTAATAGCATTTTGATAACTAAAAATTAAGCCAGGTGTTGATGGTTCACACTTGTACTCCTAGCTAGACTGGAGACTGAGATCTGAGGAGCATGGCTTGACAGTCAGCTCAGGCAGGAAAGTTTATAATTCTTTTATCTCCAGTTAAGCAGCAAAACCAAAAGTGGATCTGTGGCTCAAGTAGTAGATCCCCAGCCTTGAATGAGAAGGCTAAGAGAGGGCCTAAGGTCAGGAGTTTAAGCCCCACAATAAGAACACATGCATACAAAAGAACTAAAAACTAAAACAGACATAACATTTTGCTCAATTTAATCATAAATGCCTTCAAATCCAAAGCTATTTTGATGAGAGGCAGGAATGACCTTCATTTTAAGTATTCACTACAATACACGCTCCCCACTTTTTCAGGTCTGTTTCTTCCAATGGAATCTTTCAATGTAACTCTTCAAATTTGCCTAATTCGTTACTGACATTGTTGTTGTTGGTGGTGGTGGTGGTTATGGGGCTTGAATTCAGTGCCTGGGCACTGTCCCTGAGCTCTTTTTTGCTCAAGGCTAGCACTCTACCACTTTGAGCCACAGTGTCACTTCTGGTTTTCTGGTGGTTAATTGGACATAAGAGTCTCACAGACTTTCCTGACTGGGCTGGCTTTGTACCATGATTCTCAGATCTCAGGTTTCTGAGTTGCTAGGATTACAGTTGTGAGACCCACCAGTGCCTGGCTTGCTTAATTTTTTTTTAAGAGGGGAAATTTCTTTTCCAAGGAACAAAAGAATTTGAACTCTACTCTTCCTGTCTTCCCACCAGGGTCTACTATCTACCATCTCTTAGGAAAAATAATATTTCTTCCTAGAAGAGACATGAATGGGAGAGGCAATACAAGCCTTTAATGACTACAGATGTTGCTTTATGGAATTTTTATTCCAGGAGAGCTACAGAATGAAACTCAAATGCCCTGGAGTCCCTTACTCTGTTTGGTCTCTTTGGGTGCTCATCTAGATAAAAGGCAGGGATGGAAGGGGAAAAACAAAGGAGGAGGCAACAATGCTCAATAAGAAATGTACTCATTACCTTGCTCGTGCAACTGTAACCACTCTGTACAGTCTTGTTACAATAAAAAAGTACCAAAAACTCTAAAGCATGCTTGCAAAGTTCTACAAATCAAATATTTTCTCTTTGTTTTAAAATGACACGGAATCTTAAATGTAGACCAACATTAGATTGGGATTAGTGGGTATGTGTACTTGCTGATCCTACATTAGATGTCTTAGGCAACAAAGAGCAAGCTAAGAAAGAAAATAAGCTGGCACCAGTACAGTAATATATCGCTCTAATTTTAGCTATCAGAAGGCTGAGGCTGAGATCTGAGGATCTAGGTTGGAGCCAGCCCCAAGGGAAGGAAAGTTTTTGAGACTATTATCTTCAGTTAACCACTAAAAAGCTGAAGTAGAGCTATGGCTCTACTTACTCTCTTGAGTAAGAAAGGTAAGTGATAGTGTTCAAATCCCAGTACCAGGGAAAAAAAGAAAAATAGAAAAAGTAAAAAAAAAAAAAAGAAAAGAAAATCAAATGCCCAATATTTGCAATACTTTTTGTTCTGGTTTGAACACTTCAAGTCTTCCCTTTTGGTTTCTAAACATGATCATCTTTTCTTAACACTGTTTTACAGCCGTATTAGACCAGATGGAGGCTGTTCTTTTGAACACGAAGAGTAGCATAGATTGTTCACTTTGGGTTCATTCAGATTTAACTAAGGGAATGTCTACTGTGAGTCTTTAGAGACTCTTCTCTGAAAGAATAAATGCAATAAAAGCCTGTTTTTTTTTTTTTATAGCTGCTGGCACATAGTGTCAAACCATATTAGGCTGTACTTCCCAACAGTGACAATTTCATTTTAATACATGGGGCACATTTTAACAAGGCAAACCCATCCTGGCAAAAATGACAATGGAGGAGCTACCAAGGGGCGGGGAGGAAGGCATATGCTCTTCAAACTACAGATGTGGAAGCAACAAAGGTGGACCCAGAGAACTGGGGACCAGAGGAACATGCTTCATTTGTGTAGCCATTTTAGGAAGAATGTACCTGTTGTCTTTAGGAGTTTCACAATGAACAACTCTGAAATGCCAGCTCCAACCATCTGAAGTCTGGCACATGCTTCTGTGGAGGAAACTGATACTAGCATTATTGAGGGAGTCTGGAAAGGGCAGCCTGGTGCCACCCTTTAAGTTGTGCCCTGAATCATGTCACATACATCTCTGCTTCCAGGTATACCTGAACTCCCTGGGCCATCAGAACCCTCCAGCTCCAGGCCAACCAATCACCTGACATGTATTAATTGGATTCTGACAAGGCTCCAATAGTAGGTAAAGTTTCAGGTTTTTTCTGTTAGGTCTGATTTTAAACATAAATACAACATGAAGGGCCTGTTTGACATTCCTGCTTTTCTCAATGCTGAGAAATGACTGGCTCTAGTCATTTGAAATGCATGACAGAACTGTTTATCTTCCTCTACACACTCTCTCTCCTCCGCCTCTCCATTTCTTCTTCCCCCTTTTCTCCTCCTTCTTTCACCCTCTTTCTTCTCTTCTTCTCTCTACTTCTCCTCCTCCCTCGATCTGCCTCTTCTTCCTCCCTCCTCTCCCCCATCCTTACCCCTATTCTTCTTCCCCTTTCTCTCTTATTTTATTCCCTCTCTTCCTCTTCCTTTCCTCCTCCTCCTTCTTTTTTCTCTCATTTTTGAAACTGGTTTTACAGCCAG